AGAAAGAAAGAAAGAAAGAAAGAAAGAAAGAAAGAAAGAAAGAAAGAAAGAAAGAAAGAAAGAAAGAAAGAAACAGAGAAAGTGAGAGAGAATGTGAGAAAGAGAGAAAGAGAAGAAACATTGAGGGAGAAACAGAAAGAGAGAGAAAGAAACGGAGAGGAAAAAAAAGAGAGAGAGAGAGAGAGAGAAACAGAGAGAGACAGAGAGAGAATGTGAGAAAGACAGAAACAGAGAGAGAGAAAGAATGTGTGAGAGAGAAAGAGAAAGAAAAAGAGAGAAAGATAAACAGAGAGTGAGAGAGAGAATGTGAGAGAGAAAGAAAGAAACAGAGTGAAAGAGTGAGAATGTGAGAGAGAAACAGAGAGAAACAGAAACACACACAGAGAGAGAAAGTGAGAGACAGACAGAGAGAGAAAGACAGAGAGAGGGAGAGAAACAAAGAGAGAATTTGAGAGAAAGAAAGAGAGAGAGAAACAGAGTGAGAGAGAATGTGAGAAAGAGAAACAGAGAGAGAGAGAATGTGTGTGAGAGAGAAAGAGAGAAAAAGAATAAACATTGAGAAACAGAAACAGAGAGAAAGAAAGGAAGAGAAGAGAAGAGAAGAGAAGAGAAGAGAGAGAGAGAGAGAGAGAGAGAGAGAGAGAGAGAGAGAGAGAGAGAGAGAGAGAGAGAGAGAGAGAGAGGCAAAGCACCTCATTCTTCGGAAGAAGCAGAGCTGTCGTTTCCCGCTAAGCCGAGGTTTCCCCTCCTGGCTCGGACAGAATGAGGCCAAGGCAGGGCTCTGCCAACCCCTGGTGGGCATCTGCTAATCCCGGCTGAAACGGACACGTCAAAACCCTGACTTGGTGCATGGAAGGTGCCCCGGAGCAAGGAACTTGACATGGCGTGACGTTACACTGCATCCTCGGCTGACCCTGCTTCACCTGGCGGGGAGGGTAGGACAATCATGGGTGGCCAACCGTGGTCCGGCTACGACCCCCCTCCAAACATCCTGCTGTTACCCCCAACCTGATTCCCAAAGGCCACTGAAGGAGGACCGGCCTTTTGGGACTGACAACTCCCCCTTCATTGTGCTCTTCAGCGGGGTGTGTGTGTGTGTGTGTGTGTGTGTGTGTTAAAATGGCGTCTTTCGTTCAGCCGAAAGGCAGGTAAGAAGTTTGTTTTCCAGGGGTGCGAAGGAGCCGACGAGAAAGAGGCATTTAGAATAAACAGAAGAACAGAGTCGGAAGGGACCTTGGAGGTCTTCTAGTCCAACCCCCTGCCTAGGCAGGAAACCCTACACCACTCCAGACAAATGGTTATGCAACATCTTTTTAAAAACTTCCACTGTTGGGAGCATTTTCACGACCTCTGGAGGCAAATTGTTCCACCGATGAATTGTTCCGAATGTCGGGAAATTTCTCCTTGGTTCTAAGCGGCTTCTCTCCTCGCTTAGTCATGGCTTCTTGTCCTGCCCTTTAGGTGCTTTGCAAAAAATAGCTGGACTCCCTCTTCTTTGGGGCAGCCCCTGGGATTGGTATCCCATTATCCCTGGTCCTTCTTCCCATGTTTGAGCCTCCATTCCCCTCATCCCCTCCTGCTTGCTATCTCTCTACTCTTTCTTACAGTCTCCACATCTTTTTTTCTTTTTTACACCGTGGCAACCAAAACTATTTACAGCCAAAGGGGCTGTTGTAGCGGCGCAAACAGGGAGAGGGGGGAGAGAAATTGGGGATCACGAGGGTCGACCCAGCCTCCCCCCCTCCTCCTCCTCCTCCTGCCCAGGACTTCAAGCAGAGTCACTGTACAGATATTACAGGCGCCGGGCGTTAACTTGGTCTTTACTTATCAGACGAGCAGAGAAAAAAGATTAACAAGGACTCCCTGGGTGGGTTTGGAGGTTTTTCAGCCTTCTCCCCATCCAAGCCATCAATCCTGGCAGGGGAAGAGGAAGAAGAAAGGGGCGTGGGGGGTGGGCACGAAGGACCATGCTAGAGGAGGAAGGGGAAGGCGAGGGGACGGCGGCCAGGCAGATGCCCCTGGCCGAAACCTCCCAATTGGCAGCTCCATGACTGCGCAAACCAGAGCAATATTGACGCTCGCTTCAGGACTGGAGGGGGGGGGCAACAAACGGAGGCATTGTTTGGGAGAAAGGCCTGGAAGGGTTGGCCTCCTCCACCATTTGGGGGGGGGGGGGAAGGCAGCCACCCACCCAGAACTGCCATGGGAAACGGGCTCAGCCTCCATTTCTAGCTTTGGGAAAGGGGAAGGAAGGAAGGAAGGAAGGAAGGAAGGAAGGAAGGAAGGAAGGAAGG